CTAGAAACTTGCACCCACTTGTGAAAGAGATGTATCTTTGCTCTGGAAACTGTTATTCAGCACATTAAAACTGTAATGATATGCTTCTTCTAAAAAAAAATATTAAAAAATGTAGAAACAGCATATTTTAAAATGAAATGGAGATCCTTTTTAAAGGGTAAAAACTCATTCAATTTTATGTCTTACAGGGCTTATACTGAGTTCAATATTGTATAACTATTACCTCAACTGTGAACCTAGAAACTTCACCCACTTGTGAAGGCGATGTACCCTTGCTCTGGAGTGTGTTACTGAATATGTTAAAGCTGTAACGAAATGTTTCTTCTAATCATGTGGTTATTAAATTATAAAAAAACTTTAAAAATCTTCAAAGCATAAAAATTTGCTCCTTAATAATTAGTAGATGTGAAAAACATTGCCACTGAAATCTACCTGATGACTTTATATCCATGCTCAGATGCCAAGGAGCTCAGAAAGTAACTGACTGTGACTAGTAATAATCAGATATATAGAGATTAGAAACGCATGTGCGATGTTTCTTAAAGGTTAAAACCTCATTCAATTTTATGTCTTATGGGCTTTATACAGAGTTCAATATTGTATAACTGTATTAATTCAACTGTGAACCTAAAAATTTACAGTCAATTTTGAAAGAGATATATCTTAGCTCTGGAAATTGTTATTGAATATGTCAATGCTGTTGTAATGAAATGCTTCTTCTAATTATGGGGTTACTAAATAATAAATAAATAAATAAAATTTTAAAAGAAACAAAAATAACTTAGGGGAGGATGGGTTTATTCTGGCTCACAGTTTGAGGGTGTGGTCCATTATGTCAGGAAAGGAATAGCAGCAGGTGTGAGGCTTCTGGTCATGTTGCATCCACAGTCAGGAAGCAGAGAGAGATGGATGCTGGCTCTTTCTCCTTTTTATTCAGCCCAGGACGTCAGCCCATGGAATGGTGCTGCCCACAGTTAGGGTGGGCCCTCTCACCTCAGTTAAGCTAATTTAGAAAATCCCTTACAGACAAGACCAGAGGCCTGTTTCCTAGATGATTCTAGATCTGGTGAAACTGACAATCAATAGTTACTACCTTAGGGGCCAAGAAGATGGTTCAGCAGGTAAAGATGCTTACTGTCAAATCTGATTACCTGAGTTCAATCCCAGGACCCACATGGTGGAAGGAGAGAACTGACTCCTGCAAGTTGTCATCTGACCTCTGACCTCCCCAGACTTCCTGTGGCATGTGCTCTCTCTCTCTCTTTCACATACACACACACACGCGCGCGCATACACACACACACACACACACACACACACACACACACATAAAATATCCTCTTTTAGTTGTGACTATCTTTAGCTACAAGTGGAAGGAAGGGGCGTCAGTATGACAAACCAATGCAATTATTTCTAGGTAGTTCCAAAGTGAGAAAACATTTTTTTTTATATCTCACTAGTCACCTAAAATAATACTCAAATTGTAACTTGATATCATAGACTCAAAGACAGGTGAGCATCATCCATCCCTCTCCATATGCATGGAAAGGACTCTGTTCAGGAAAGCTTCGACATGAATGCAGAACTGGGTACAGATCAAGTGAAAGGGGCTCAGTCATGAGACGTGCAGCTGTCTGCAGGGGCAGATCCCAGAGGATCTGCTATCTTCATGGTGTATTAAACAACAGGCCCCAAAGGAAGAGCATTCATTTCTTTTGTAGTCCCAGCACTTATGAGGCAGAGGCAGGCAGATCTCTGTGAGTTCAAGGCCAGCCTGGTCTACATTGTGAGTTCCAGGAGAGCTGGGGCTATAGAAAGAGCCAAAAAGTTGAATACATATTTACGTGTTTACTTGTTTCTTGTTTCTGTCCTCAGAATGTGTGTTAGTCAGCTTTCTGTTACCATAACAAAATACCTGAGGTAATCAACTTAAAAAGAAAAGAAAAAAGGTTTTTGTTTTTTTTTTTTTTTTTTGGATCATAGAGGCTGTGGTCCATGACTAATTGGCCTTAGGCTTTGGATCTGTGATGACAGAGAGTGCGGTAGTGGAGCCAGCAGCTCATCTTGTGGTGGCTGGGAAGCAAAGAAAGGGGAATGAGGAGGAGCCAGATACTCAACATCTCCTTCGAGGGAAAGCCCTCAATGACCTGACTTCCTTCCACAAGGCTCTGCCTCCATCAACTCCAGAAGCTCCATGGGATGGAGCCCCAGCTTTCAACAATGAGACTTAGAATATTAATAGGGGAAGACAAAGATGTGTCTGCCATGTTCCCTGCTGAACTCTTGGAGCCCATACGGGGGTATGACAATAATTAAGTACTTGAATGAACAGATGGAAGAATAAAAGGGTGAACTGATGGACACACAGGCCGATCTAGCAGCCCCTCCCCTCGCCAGTGGGGGATAAGGGGTGCTCAAGACTGTGGCTAATCCAAGCCCTCTGCAGGCTGTCTTTGTCCTTGTGCACAGGCACCTATACCACTTAGACACAGCAAGAGATCAGTAAGAATAAAATGGAACAACTTTAATGGTACCTTATAATAAAAGTTATTAAAAACTTGTGAGTTGGGGCTGGTAAGATGGCTCAGTGGGTAAAGGTGATTGCTACCAAACTGGATGACCTGAGTTTGACCCCAAGGACCCACATGGTGGAACTGACTTCCACAAGCTTTCCTCTGACCACCACACATTTGTACACAGTTGCTCAAACACATACACACAACAAACAAACAAACAAAGTAACAAAAATTAAGAGAAACAGCTTATGAATTATTTGCGTCTGGAACTTTCCAGTTGCTGTTTTTCAGCTACACTTGGTCCTGGCTAACTGAAAATGTGGGGCAGGGGCAGCTGTAGTTAAGAGTTCTGGGAGGGAACCAGGCCTCATCCTTGGCCTGTGGAGCTGCTGTACTTGTAGAATGGAGTACGCACATATGAGCTGCCATCCTTTTCTGTGTCTTTTCTAGGATAGAAGCTGTGCCACTTGAGCTGGGTATAGAAGAGAAAGGGTGGAAATGGGAGGCTCCAGGCATGTGTAGGGAATCAAGGCCCTGAGGACCTGCTTATGCTGATACAACATGGCACTGACATGGATTTCCTTCATGAACATCCAGAGACATCCAGAGAGCTACCAGTCAGTACAGAAGGGCTGACATCGGATGACTGGGGATCCCTAAAAGTAAACAGTGATGTAATCTGTTATCTAGTCAGTTTTGCAAAGAAGCCATCTTTGCGTGATTTCCTATAAACAGTCCTTGGGAGCAAGGGCTCATGCCCTAACCTGGTGGCTGCCTGCCCAGCAGGCATATGCTCTCGCCTAGAGGAAATAAAGTACATTTCATTTGCCAGTGACTGTGAATCTTTTTTACTCTCCTGTTCCTCATGACCCTCCATCCCTGGTCCCCAAACTTGGTTTCTACGACAGGATTACACTTTTTTGTTGTAGTTTTGAGACAGGGTCTTGCTATGTAGCCTTGGCTGGCCTGAAACTCACCCAGCCAGAATTATACTTTAAGCAGCATTATGTATCGTGGCCCAAGTTCATCTGGGACTGGTTTCTTTTTCCTTAACTTTGCTGAGATATGGCTTATATGTGGAACTAACAGCTATTTATGGTTATTACTTTAAATTTTTATTTATTGTTAGCCAGGCATGGTGGTGCTTGCCTTTAATCCCAGCACTGCGGAGACAGAGACAAGCAGATCTCTGTGAGTTCAAGGCCAGCCTGCTCTACACAACGAGCTTCAGGACAGCTGAGGCTACAGGGAGACCCTGTCTCAAAAAGACCCAGAAAATTTTTATTTATTGTTTATGTTATGTGTATGAGTGATTTGTGTTTATTTGTGCAAATGCACCACATGCCTGCAATACCTTTAGAGGCCAGAAGAGGGCATTAGAGTCTCTGGAACTGGGGACTGTTGAACTAGACATAGTGGGGGTAGTAACAAAGAGACAGCAGGACTCTGTTGTTTTTACAGACAGTTGTCAGCTGCCCTGTGGGTGCTGGGAACCAAACCCGGGTCCTCTGCAAGAACAGCCAGTGCTCTTAACTGCTGAGCCATCTCTCCAGCCCCTATTACTGTTTTTGAACTTATTGTGTATACAGATGTGTGTGCATGTTCACATGTGTGTGCATGCACATATGTGTGGAGGCCAGACGTCAACACTGGGCATTGTTCCTCAGGAATCATCAACTTTATTTTTCGAGAGCAGGGTCTCTTACTGGGACTTGAAGCTTGACATTTTGGCTAGGCCAACCATCCAGAGAGCCTGAGTCCCTGTCTCTGCCTCCCCAGAGCTGGAATGACAAGCCTGTGTCACCATGCCTTGTTTTTTTATGTGAGTTCTAGGGATCAAACTCAGGTTCTCAAGCACTTTACCCACTGGGCCATCTCCCTAGCCCAGTGGCCATATTTTTAAACAAAGACTATGAATCTCATTTCCAGGGAATGGAAGATGAGATGCCTGGTAAATCCAGACTTTCTAAGTGGGGAATTGTCATTAGATGGAGCTGCCCATACCTGAGCCAGTCACCACCTTCAGGTTTGCCTGGGTGTGGGAGGGACTGGGGGCTCCTTTCTCCCTTGGCTAACTGCCTGTAGCTCTTTCTGACTGGGGATGGATGGGTGTGACAGACAGCCAGTATGGCAGTGAAAACTCGGTTTGGGGCACTGAAAACTTGGTTTGGGGCAGATATGGGAGGCAGGGGTAAAGGTCTGGGGTCAATAGCTGGCAGACCCGAGTTCAAGGCGCTCAGTACCTCTAATGTGCTCTGCAAGTGCTAGGCAGCTCCTGGGTGTCTCTGAGACTGCCTCGGCCTCTTGCTGGATGTGTTAGTAGGACTGTGAGGTTGAGCTAGGTTGGGCATTGTGCTGGGAGCTGTGGCCACTGGTGACCTGTGTCCCTAACCTCCATACTGCCCCAGCTTTCCTCGACACTGCCCCCAGGCTCTACCAGTGAGCTCTCACCCTGAGGTGTGACTCTGTGTCCCCAAGTCCTACCTGGCTCTTCATGCTCTCAATCTCTTTCTGCCTTTGATCGGTGCCTTCATCCGGGCCCTGGAACTTTGGGGCACCCCTGTCGCTTTGCCTGGAGGCCATGGTCTTGGACAGCCTGTGACTCAGGTCAGCTACTTCGTTCTGCAGATTCATTATCACAGCGTCTTTGTATTTGGATTCGATTTCAAAATCTGAGAGCCGGTTGACCTCTCTTCCCAGTAGCAGAATGATCTCATCCTGTGTGGGGGTCAGAGGGAGGCTGACCGGGGTATGGAGGACCAGAGGAGGCTGACCAGGGGTCTAAGGGACCAGAGGGAGGCTGATAGGGGTGTGGGAGCCAGAGGGGGCTGACCAGGGGAGTGGGGGACCAGAGGGGGCTGACCAGGGGAGTGGAGGCCAGAGGGAGACTGGCTAGAGGAGTGGGGGCCAGAGGGAGGCTAGACAGGGGAGTGGGGGCCAGAGGGAGGCTGGTCAGGGGAGTAGGGGTCAGAGGGAGGCTGGCCAGGGGAGTGGGGGCCAGAGGGAGGCTGGCCAGGGGAGGGGGGGGCAGAGGGAGGAGGGGCAGGGGAGGGGGGGTGGGGGCCAGAGGGAGACTGGACAGGGGAGTGGGGGCCAGAGGGAGGCTGGACAGGGGAGTGGGGGACCAGAGAGAGGCTGACAGAGGCAGGTGTGGGTGCAAAGCTAGGCCCATTTCTAAAATATGGGGAAAAATAAGGTACCACTCTCTGGGGGAAGGCAAGGACAGACAGGAGGACAGGAGACATTTACACTATGCCAGAGAGACTAGAGCTCGGTTAGAACCCCACGCCTGTACCCACCATCCCAACCTGACACTGTAAGCAGACAGGAATTTATTATAACTGTCTGCCTAGCCCCTTATCAGGCCTGTGTCTAGTGTGATGGAGACCCAGCAGAGCTAATTAGGAGACCAGCACAGGATTCAAACACATTCCAAAGGTAGCAAGAGCTGTTTGTTCATTTTAAAATTTCACACTTTCTGAGGGGTCCTTTGCCCTTCCCTTAATTCTGGAATTCTCTGCCTCCTTTGGCTGCTCACAATATATACAGGTAAAGTAAGTCAAGGAAGAGGAGGATTGAAGTGGGATGAGGAATGACCAGCAGCTCTTGAAAACTCTGGGCTGGGGAAAAAAAAAAAACCAAAACTGGAGCCCATCCTCCATCTCCTCCAAGCAAAAGCAGTCATCAAAGAATTTGCTACCTTTCCCTTAAGGGGGAGAAAACACCCTGAACTTCTCATTAGAGTGTCAGGGAGACTGGAAAAGCAAATCCCAGTGTGTTTTTATCTGCAGCTGCACGATTTCTGACCCATTTTTTAAAAAGTCTTTTAGGATTTTTTGATACAGGGTCTCATGTAACCCAGGTTGCCTCAAATTCACTAAACAGCTGAGGATGCCCTTGAACTTCTTCCTTCTACCTCTGGAGTGCTGGGCTTACAGGTATGGGCCACCACACTCCCAATGTTTTTTATTATTTTATTTTGCAGTGTTAGAGATCAAATTCAGGGTTCCAGTATGCTAGGCAGGTGTTTTACCACCCCCAAATTCCCACCCTCCTGCCTCCTGAACCATTCCTTTTAAAGTGATTTAGCTCTTCCAGCCACCCTTCCTTCCTTCCTTCCTTCCTTCCTTCCTTCCTTCCTTCCTTCCTGCCTTCCTTCCTTCCTTCCTTCCTTCCTTCCTTCCTGCCTTCCTTGTACAGGAAGCCTCCAAAGATGGCGCGGACCCAGAGCCCTGGGATTCAGCGAGAATTCACTTCACTTTTTGGTCTGCAATTAGCCCACCAAAGGAGCCCACACCTCCGTACCCTGCTTGGGAGCCCAGTGACTGCTGACAGACTGCATGGTGCGGACCAATCAGAAAACGATACGCTGACTAAAGGGACTTGGGGGCGGAGAAAAGGGAAATAAAAGGCCTGCCCCCTCCTGCATTAAATGAGCCTGCAGCACCTCGCCTAGTTCTTGCTTCTATTCAACTCCCGGGGTCTGTGTGTTGTGACTCTGCACCTCTTGCCCCCTTAATCGGCAGGGGACCCGATCCAGGTCAGGGTCTTCACAGCTGGCCTGAGGAGAACCCGCAACACCTGGCGCCGGAACAGGGACTCCTGCCCACGGTGTTGGGGACACCCAGAACCTCGGTTCGTTCGGTAAGCAGGCCCCTGGATTTGTCTGTTTCTTCGGCTGCTCGAGGGTAAGCGAGTAGCCTCCTCCTCTGTCCCCTCCACCCTGTCTGTCGTCTTTATTGTTAGATCAGGGAGGCACATTCTACCACATGGTCCCAAAGCCCACAAGGTCGGCACCTCCCCCCTCTCAGCTCCTCCCGGTGAGTTCACATAAGAGCTGATCCACCCCGAACTCAGAGCCCAGGCCTAATTTGTTAGATCAGGGAGGCACATTCTGCCACATGGTCCCAAAGCCCACAAGGTCGGCACCTCCCCCCTCTCAGCTTCTCCCGGTGAGTTCACATAAGAGCTGATCCACCCCGAACTCAGAGCCCAGGCTTCCAGTCACCCTGTTGCCTGTCCTGGAGACACCGTGTGAGCATACGGCTGTAGGTGTCATGGCCTCCAGAAGTCCCTCACTGAGCACAAGACATTTGGATCCGATACACCTCTACATGTCGGGGCGGTTTACATCCGAGTGGCTCACAGTGCTTCTTTGCTTCCTTTGTGCCCTCTTGGCAGTCACCCTCGTCTTCTACTTTTGTGGCAAATTCCCCTTCGTGAGACCCTCCCACGATGGGCAGTTTACCACCACAGCGCAGGGAACCACAAACAGCAGCACTCAAGGTTCTCCTTAAAACCAGAGGGTTGAAAGTGAAACCAAAAGATATCGAACACTTTTGGGATGAAGCCACTAATTTAGCTGCGTGGGTCTCCCCTGAAAACATGTGGGACCCTGACATGTGGATGCGGGTCCTCTTCCTGGCCCGAAAAAGGGAGGTCGGGTCAGGGATCACTCCCCCCACATCGTTCCTACTGATCCTCCTAGCCATCATTGCTAGCCTTAAATCCTCCTCTCCTGAGGAAGTCATCTTGGCCCCAGGAGCAATCTAGTGTAGATCTGGCTATTACCTCGACCCCGGGCCTCCCAGACCCCCCAGACCCAGAGGTGGACGCCGCCTCTGCACCCACTATCAATAAGGAAGGAGCTCCTTTGCCTATATCTCAGGATACTCTCCTAGAGCTACCATATCCAGAAATTCCCCTACCCCATTACCCATGGAAGGAGTTACTCTCTCTCCCACCAATAACCATCCCACCCCTTCCCCTGCTAATGTGCCCCTCCCTCTTAGACCGCCCTCTTTAAAGCCTCACCTGCCTTTGTCCGCATTTCCGCTTAACGTCGGCCCCAATGTGGCGCAGCGTCCATGGCTTCCCACCCCACTTGCTGACCTTGTTCTTATCCACAAGGCAGCTGAGCAATTGGGCCCTGACTCCCATATTTCAAACAGGTTCTTTGCCAGTGGTCCTTACATTTAGAAACCCACTATGATTGGTATAGTTTACTAAAGGCAGTCTTAGAACCCTCAGTCTTTCTAAACTGGCACGCAGCCTATGACTATCAGGCTGAAAGCCAGATACGCCTAAATCTCCAATATGGCCTCAACATTATGTTGGACATGCTCACAGGTCGTGGACAATATACTGACCCCATCTCGCAGTCTACTATTGGTCTCCATGCCTATTTTCAACAAGTTTCTTGCTTGGCCTTTAAGGCCCTTAAATGTTGCTCCACCTGTGAACCACAAGTCTTTTTCCATAATTTGATTCAACAGTCAGGGGAGTCCTTCACAGACTTCCTTACCCATGTTACCGAGGCAGTAGAGCGGAGGGTGGAGTCTGGACCCACCCAAGGGGGGCTTATTGAACAATTAACTTGGGAGGGATAACATTCACAAATGGCTACTCGCCACTAGAGACTTGGACCCTAGGGTGGGCCCTATTGAGGCTTTGACTGCCTCCTTGGAGATTCTTTTGTCTCAAGGAAAATCTGTCCACTTTGGCATGCGGGAAGGCTGTTAGAACTGTGGGGGGCTTGGCCACTTTCGTAGCCACTACCCAAGAGGTCCAGTCCGCCCCAAGACTCGCTGCCCCAAGTGCAAAAGAGGGATCCATTGGGCTAAAGACTGTAGGTCACCACCTCAACCGGACTCCGCTCCTTTAAACTCCACCTGGGGTGCCCCTCAGCCCCACCCACAAGAGGGGAAACGAGACAGATATTATGGACTCTCCCAATCCTCAACCACTCCCCACTAATGACCCTGTTCCTAGATGGAACTGCCATAAAGGGCCTAGTAGACACAGGGGCTGATGTCACCATTATATCAGAAACTGAATCCCTTAAATTCCCTCATTGGAAATAC